CTGTAAATGTGTGGAGATGTGAGGCAATTGCACTCTGCTCCAGCATCCAGGATTCGGTTCTGCCTCAGTCCAGTTCTGAGCTCTTGGCTTCTCAAAACCTTCCTGTACATCCACATACTTGTCTAGATGTGATGGCTTTCAAATGAAGACCCCTCAACTTCCTGCCTCTTAAACTGTGCAGTTGACCAAAAAATGGGGAAACCCTTTGAAAAGATCCTTTCAAAGGATTTCTTGGTCACTGTTTAATCCCTGCTCAAGAGCTGACAGCAGCAGTTTTCTTAGGTTCTTGATTTAGAAACCAATTCCAAGAACACGCCTGCACAGACGTGCTCGTTCTGGGCAATGTTATCTGTTCATTCCCTTTCTGACTTCTTAAATAGTGGCCATCAGGTGTGGAAAGAGCTCACATTTCTGGATCACTCTGTAGTCCATCAACTAATATACAGTATAATAGTTCTTGTTGACAACTTGACAGAATGGTAAATAATGCATTTCATGTTCAACTGGTTAGGTTTTCAGAGTCTCTTACTTTGGAAAGCTCCTTTTCCCATGAGCATGGATTTACTGTGGCAGTTGGGGCATCGACAACCTTCAAGGCTGGAATCCCAGTGATTGCGGAGAATGAAACTACAGTCACCCTGGATGTCAGTACAAGTCACACCTGGAGCTTTACAGAGACTGAAAGGAAAGAGGTGGGTTTTTAGTGCTGGATTAACCTAAATGGAAATGCCCATTAGCTCAACACACTCAATTAAGGCGAGATGGTTGCAGTGAGGTGTACAGAACATGTAGTTCTATATTCAGAATATAGACTTGCATTTTGCATCCCCTTCAAGCTATTCATCTAGCAGCATCCAAATAGATTGGGGGACTCTCGGGCAACTTCACTGAATACTTAAAACTCTTCTTAGTTTATACCTTCCTTTTCTTCACATGACAACTGAAATAGAAGAGATTGGAAACTAAGCAAAGTCATAAATTAGCTTGAATGCCCACTGTCCAACTTCAAAATGAACATCCAAGAGGCTTAAACAAGCCTATCTAAATGCAGCTTCTACCTTTTCTAAATCCCTATTGCCTTTCTGCTAGAATGCTAGTGACAAATAGATCCTCTGGTTTAAATCCAATTTGTGCTTTTAACCTTACCCACAACTGAATGTATTGGTCCATCACCACTTCAGTTTCCTTTGTATGAACGAGCACTACATTGGCAACTTTCCAGGCAATGGGTTTTGTCCCATTTTGACTCTGCTTGGAGAAGTGTAAGCAGCCATGGCTAGCATCTGCTGAGGAGTTACAAAAGGCTGGTAGAATACAATCGACCCCAGGTCATTTCTCTTCTCTTTAAGCATCTAGGAACCATTTGTTAAGGCTTTGCCTCTGTCAATATTAGTCTTCCTGAAGCACGTTCTGTGGTTTCTAAATATTCCCTCTTCTCTCTAAGGTATCTCCTCTGCTTTTTGTAGTACTGGAAAATGCCTTTTCCCTTGTGATATCCTTTTCTGTGTGTTGATCGCTAACCTGGCCAGGAAAACTACAGTATATCTATTGTACCACAGGTTTTGCAATTCCTACATGGGTCGGGGAAGGTGTCTGAAATACTTTTAAAATGTTGACTGTAATGTGAGTCAAATCCTTAAAGAAAATCCCTTTATAGGCAGGGACTAGTTCCTGTTCATTTTCAATAACTTGGTGGGAATCAAGAATATTTGAATTATTCTTCAAAATACCCGGTTTTGTATTCGGGTAGTATTGTGAGCAGTTCTAATTGGAGCTAAAACTTCATGCCTGGGTAGCTTACTCCAGACACTGCTTGGTAATTTCCCAAACTCCCATATACACCGGTAATAGGGGCAGAGGAGAAGAGTAGCCCCATGGTCTCGTATAAATCAAATTTTCTTCCTTCACAATGAAAATACTTTTTCTTTTTTTTTTCCCCCTCCCTGGCTTCTTTCCAATTGTACTTCCATAAGTGAACATGCCAAGTGTTGATTTGCTGTTTTCTCTGAAGGTTGTTGACACCTCTACCTTGAGCAGCACGGTGCCCCCTGGGAAGGCAGTGAGGTTCAAGGCTGTTGTCCAGAAGGGAACCCTGGATGTTCCTTACAAAGCAAAGGTGACCACTATTTTTGGATA